TAGCCATAGCTACATAATAAGTATTAACCGATTTAAAGCATTCGAGAAACTGCGATAATCCTGGTTTTGATGCATTCGCCTGAGCCCTTGCTGCGTTCCCTTTTTCAATATGATATGTGTAGAATTTCTGAAATTAGCTTTTCGCATATCTTTCTAGTATGAGCTTTTGAGTGACTTATTACCTGTTTAACGAGAACTAGAAGCGATAAACCGCATAAGATGAGTATAAAAAGAGATATGGCGAAGTAGGTGATAGCGATTGATCGCACGTCAGATATGACTGCAAGTTGAGGGAATTTAACCAACAGTTTGGAATCCTTCGCATTCCAAAAGTATCAGAAACCTACGCATGGTAACGATTATCGATAGCACAGTGATGAAAGTACCGCATACATTGTTTCCCAGCACAAGAGCATTGGTATACTTTGCCGGAAAATCAGCGAAAAGGCCATAGGTAGAGTTTTGGTAAAGGCCATTGGCAAGATTCATTATAGCTACGATGACCAATGTAACGATGTAGAACCAGCCCATAGCTGAATTTTATCGGATTGATTTATCCCAAACAGGAAATGCAGAAGAGATTTTTACCGTCTTCGGATGGGGGAACAAATGATATTAACATCAAAACTGCGAAAACACTGATGCAGTTTACAACGATAGGGCCTGCAATGCGGAGAAGCAGAGCACCGCTGAAATAATGGCACTTATTCTATATAAAATAATTTCCTACCCAAAAAATCTTACCCTATTGCAGCAAAGGTGTTGATGACGCTAATCAGCACATTAGGTAATTGCGATGCAATCCCTAATGTGCTCATAAAATTCTTTGAATACTCAGTTGGTGTATTATTTGGGGAAAACCAGTAATCCACATAGTACTGAAACATGAATTAACTAATTTTCTCTAGAAGGCACGCATATTGTTTTCTGACCTGCGGAGCTATGGTGATAAACATATTCCATGGCATGAGGACTCCTATGCCATGGAGTAGGGCTATGAAATAGACCAGAAGACACTGAAAAAATGTTTTTTAATTACTAAAACCTTTAGAATAACATGTTTCCTTCAAATCATTTCGCGAAGCCGCATTAGATCATACAATTGTGGCTTCGCAACGCTTACAAGGGAAGGATGCTTGGTCGAAGTGGTAATTCAAGAAGCGGTGTAAGCTGGTAGATGCGATTTCAAACACTGATTCTAAATCTACCTTGCATATCTGCGAAGCAATTTTCTGGAAGAAATGAAAATTTTTCTATGCAAAAATTAGCTTGTACGCTTAGTCAAAGATTGTTTTACAACATCAAATCCAGCATGAACCGACAAGTAAAGGGTTGTATATTAATGGAGATATGTCA